TTAATGGTTTATAGTGTCAACTTGTTGTTTGGATAATCTTAATTGACTTGTTATATTAGAACAGTTTACATTCTGTTTCTCTTTTTGCCTCTCCTCACATGGGATGATTTTGTGCCATGATTTGATGGGAAAGTACTCTGAAAATCACTGATTTGTTACTTTGTTTTAATAAACCTGATGTTTTGTGTGTATGCTCTTTGTACTCTGAGTACTATACTACGAAGTTTAGGCACCTACTATAAGCTTTGCTCCATCCTTCATCAGGAAACCATCAAAAAATTGTCGAGTTGATTAGAGTTACACAAAAGATCTATATTACATACTCGTGTGCACAATAGCTTAACTTAGTCTGCTGCTATAAATTGTGTGTGAATTTTTATTTATCAGAAACGTGAGCATGTGGGGAATTTTTTTACCCCAGTTGTAATTAGGAAGTGTTCACGGCTCCTAGTAAAAAGCAAAGGGCTTGTGGAGGAGGAGGATGTTTTCAGGGTATCCAATACATCTAATACTGTAACATTGTGCCTGGAATGCCAGTCATTCGTTTGACACTGAATTTCTTTCCTGTGACCCTGAACTGATCTTTAGAGTTTCATTTGTCCTTTCTGTAGGAATTTAATGTTCTTTGGACAGGTAAGAAGAGCATAGCAACAGCTGGGAGAATGATGGTTGTACTTCTGTTCATTTCAGGCTTATGAGGAGTGTGGAGAAGCAGCTTTCCCTGTGATGGTAGTAGTGTACATTGGAAAAAGCCTGATGGTGTTTTTTTTTTAACTAGTCACTTTTCAAAGTCACTGTCAGAGAAGGGAGCCCACGCACTGTAGGAAAAGCATGCTTTTAGGTCTGACCGTAAAGAATGATTTTACTGTCACTTGTTTGCCTTAAACACTTTAATCGTTGGTTTGGTTTGAAAGCAGGTGTAAAAAAAGGTAGTATCTGTGTCCGTTTTTCACCTGTGAGGCTGAGTTTTACACCTACCTGTAGGCATAATCAGAACTCTTGTAAGTTTAAGCTTAGTGAGCCAAAATCCAGCATCAGGTGCTTCAAAGTAAATCTCAATGCCCGAGCAAACTGAAAAATACTGAAGAAATTCCTATTTTGTTACTTTTTGAAAGTATTTAAAAAAAATTTTTAAAATCCCATTCTGTGATTCAGAAATATACATTCCTAATATTTCAAGTGAGAGAAGCCAGTGGAATGGAGGCACTAATGAGTAATAGTACAGCTCTGTAGCAGTACTGCTATTTGATGTAAGATACATTTGTGAATTTAAGTAATGAAATGTACTGTACTGGTTTATTTATGCAAATTATTCAAATAATTTTTTATTAAATACATGTAATGACATACCTTTGCTTTGAGGAAGAAAGGTTTTTTAATCTGAAACAACCCGTTAAGTGTTCCTACCTAGTGCTTAATTCAGTCTGTGCCTCAGGACAGTGCAGAGAACACAGACATGTTCAGCAGACATTTCTCATTTTTCTTGAACAGTGGAGTAGGATCACTGCCCTGAGTCAGTTCTGGCAAAACTGTGGAATGCACAGCTTGATCTGCCTTTCCACTGCCAGAGTCACTTGCCTTTGGCTGCCAGAGAGGAAATTGGGCCGTTTTACTCTCTTCTGGTACAATGGTTTAATTTAACTCAGTTTTTGTTGTGTTTACCCAATTACTGTGTCTTGGTTCCCATGAGCCAAGTAAAAGCAGGAACTGTGCCAAAGGTATGAGACATTTTGGACTTGAATATTGCTGCACCTGAGGTTCTGACATAACGGAGAGCTTACAATGCAATCATCTCACAGCAAAATCTTTTAATCTCATTATAGTCTCTGCAATTAACGTGTAATAACAGTCATGTAATTACCAGAGACATGACCCATTGTTCAACCTGAGCCGTGTCCCACTGGTGTGCAGGGAGGGAATTCAGTTCCAGTTCTAACTGGAGGTACAAAACCTGAAATGTTTCCTGTCTCAAAGCAGGAATTTCATCTTGTTTTTGTAGATTCCGGGTCTGGTCAGTGGTACCAGGTTGATGTGCTGAATTCTCAGGATTCCCGTCACCATGTAGGCAGAGGTTGCTCTGGTGGCTGTGCTGGTCTAAGAGGTTGTTATTGGTGTGTCCCTCATTATTGCTTTAAATTAGATGCCCTTTAGAGCTCAGTCTAAGAGATAGGCTGTGTTTACTGTAAATGTATTATTCCCTTCCGCCCCATCTAGTTTTTTGGAATCTGTCCACAGACTAATGTAGATGTATGTGGGACCTTCAGGAGCTGTTCTCTTAGCAGTCCTTGATTCCAAGCTTTTCTCCATGTACTTCTAGTGACAAAACACAAGGATGCCAGAGGAGTGGCTATAGTGACTGCAATACTGAAAATAGTCATAAGCAAAGAGAGCTTTTCATTGGTACGCCAGAAGGAAAAAAACCCAACCCTAATCTTCTCCAGTAGGAAATGTCAGATTTTCTCTTTAGCATAAAAATAGTCATCTTCTGACAACATATAAAAGTGAACCTGGAATTTTATACATGTTAAAACTGTCACTGGTGTAAGAAATGCAAACTATCATTTTAATCTTAAAAGCTTTGTGGAGGCAGAATAATAGTGCTCTCTTAACTGTCCTTAAAAGGTTATGTGTTTTTCTCATTTTTAACACTGGAAAACTTGATGCAGTTTTGATGACACTGAACCCTGCTATGGGATAAAATAATCAAGATTCTAAAAGAAGACATAGTCTTTGAAAAGTGGATTTTTTTTCTGTTACCCAAAGTACGTCAGAGTTTTCCGTAGTATATTAATTCTGCTCAAAGACACTAAAATGTTAAACATGAGTAAGAAATGGGTGTAGGAATCATGAAGTAGCGAAGAAACTCTGCATGTGGCAGATAGAGTGTGAAACAATGTTTTTACTTACCAACGGTGTTGATTAACAGTATCTGAATCCATATATGAGAGGAGTTAAACATTTACTTGAAACTGTTATGACCTTGATGAGGTGCTTGTGCAGCAAACATCAAATTCTGTTTTGAATTGAGTATTTCTCTTGTAAAAAAATCACTTGGTGGTGGAAACTGAACTAATTGGCTTTGTTCCTCTTGTTCTTCAATACCTGAGAACTGGTAGGCTCTTGGCTGTGTCTCTGGACAGAAGTGGTGAGTGTTCCTGTTTCTTGAGGTCCCAATTTGCCGACTTTAGTGCTCACTGAAACTGGCTCACTTAACTAGTGATAAGACTGAATGTACCATTGCAGGGCACATTGATGTCCAAAGCAGTTTGGTGTCACCACTGGTGACCACAGACAGACCCACGTGGAAAAGTTAAGAACAGGGCAAAATATATAAACACTTTAATTTCAGGGAACTGCACAAGTTTGTTCGTTTAATAAACCTGAATGGATCTGTGTTCCCAATGCCTGTCTCCCTTTAAGGTGAGAGAAAGTTCTCACATCCCTGGTGTCCTTTGGCAAGTGAGATTTATGCTGCCCTTATTTGCAGGAAGGGTTGCTGCTGTCAAAAATTGCTTAAAGGTTTGAAGATAAAGTTGCCTGAATTCTCAGGTTTATTATTCAGTGTTTTTGAACCTCTTCAAGCTTGATGTATGAAACACTGCGTCAGGGTTATTTTTATAGGGGTTATGTCATGTTATAGAAGTTCAGATCTAGATCTAAATTGTAAAATTCAGAATAATCTTGCTTTTAATCCTGAGCTTCTTGTAAAGCTAAGCATTGTCTCCTTGTGAGTAGATTTGGCTGAAAGCTCTATGACATTACCCTGATTATTCCCCCCACCCCAACCTCTTCTGATTTCCTTTATCATTACAAAAGAATACACAATAATAATTTTGATCTTATTTTTCTCACTTATGTGTTTTCATGTAGAGGCAGGGTGGTTCTAAGTGCTCCAGAGAAGCTGAGTTCTTGTGTATTTGCTAAGAAAGCATCGTTCTTCATATTCTGGTGGTGCCAAGATACGCAAGAGTTTGTAACTTCTAAGACATGATGGGATCATTAAGATTGTAGTAGTGTGGGTTTAATACATCTGGCTCTATGATGCATGTGCTTTGATGGGGTATAAGGGCTCATCTAATTCTTGAATGTTTAAAGAATGGAATAAAAAGTTCATTGGTTTTATCAGGAAAAATAGAACTATCCATCAAAAGGAAGAGAATTGGGAAAGCATGAAGCACTCAGAATAAAATTACCTTGGTTGTTAGTTTGGTTGGTGAAGGAGAGCAGAAAGCTTTGGTTTTGTTCTGGGTGAAGCCTTACAGGTTAACTGGTTTTTGTGTTGAGACTGAAGCAGCTCACGAAGGCAGTAACTTGGTTACAGTGAAAAGGACAAAGATGCTGTTTGTTGAAGCTTGGCCTAATGTCAAAATGTATGTGAACAGTGAAAGTCAGGAAGTTCATCCTAAACTAAAGTTCAAGTACCTCGTACAGCCAACAGCACGAACAAAGGAGCAATGGATTATCCATCTCAGAATTTTTCAATTTAAATCCCTTATGGAAGACAGCCTTGGTCAGGGAGAGATGACTGGAGTTATTATGGGAGCACTGCCTTGGTACTCACACAGCTTGTGCTCTGTAGGAGTAGAGAAGGGATTAGCAGTAAGTTCCTTTGGCTTTTGATCCATGTTAAGTAGGTAGAGCTAACCTAAAGTGCTGGAATGTTGTGCAATAACACTAAGTAAAATAGGCTGGGAACTGATGGTAGGTTAAGACTGAGTAACCTCTGTAAAGGTGTATTTTTTTTTCAGAATTAGGTAAAAAAGAACCCCAAGGCTCTTACCAGCTATCTTAGCATGTAATGGCTTTCAGGAATATGTGGTTTAATGTTAAATAAACACTGATTGGCGAGTAAATGGATGAAAGCTTTATATTGAAGCGGTTTATTTTTTTTTGGAAATTTGTATAGGATCGGTGTAGTAAAAATAATAATGATTAATCAAGATGAAGACTTTGTAATAATCAACACAAATGTGTAATTTTGATTATTTTTTTTTTTTCAGCTCCAGTTGTTAACCGATACAACAGAAGAGTATCAGGTATGGTTTCTTTTCTGAGAGTTTAAAGTTTCTGAAATAGTTTTTAAATGTGTATTTGACTAAAGGAATTGCATTAAAAATTACCTTACCCTTATCACTGCCTTATTTGTCATAATTCTTGCAGTATTTTTATTTGAAATAATGATAATTGCTTCTTAATTCACTGTAGACAGCATAGCATAATTTGCCATAATTATTTTGCAGGAAAATGAAAAAATGGCAGCATTTTTCAGCTGTACCACATCTCCTAGTCTTCCGTGTTGCTAAGAATTTTATCTCTGGTTAGAATACAAAAATATGAGGGGAGGAGTTCCCCCTTTCTGCATTGTTTTAGCCCCTGGCTTGTGCAACTGATATTAAATTTGTTGAATTAGTGGCTGCACACTTGTTCTAGAGACACAGATTATACTCTTTTTATTTGTTTGTTTTCTATCTCAACCAATATTAAATGCTTTAATGAGAAGCTGTTATTCCCAACAAATTCTTTTCGAAGTTGGTTTTTGAAAGAGTATCATGTGAACAAAATGTTATGTGAGGATGAGAAGGTACTGCATTATTTTTTCATTTGAGGTGCAGTGTGAATTGCTTTGCATGTGTTACTTTTTTTTGTCTTCAGATATTTAACTAACATTTAGCTGGCCTAGGAGGTGGTTGTTTGGTGAAACCAAAAGCTCTAGTTTTGAGTTCAAGTCTACTCAGTTTGAAATCTGTGTATATGATCTTACATGTTCTTGGGTATGTTAGTTATGGTGGGGCATTGTTGATTTTATATATATATATGCTACATAAATAAGTGGTATATAAATAAATGCAAGATAAATACATGTTTATGTGCAAATTGTCCTTATAGTCATGGAGTTCACTTGCTTTGCTGCTGGTTGCTTGGGTGTGATTAAGGGTATGATTGTGTATTTATACCACTACAAATAAGTAACTGAGTATAATGAGAATTTCATAACTCTTAAAAAATTACAGTGCTGGTAGTTTTGATCTATTATTACATGGGAAATTTAGGCAGGACGGAACTGTATCTTGAATAATGGAGTTTGATACTCTGAAAGTAAATATTGCAAGTCATATATTGTAGAGTATCTTAATCTGGAGGGGCCTAAGACATTTTAATTTCTCTGCTAATTAAACTAATCCATCCTGGAACCTGCTGGTGGAGTAAAATCATACAAATGAGAAGTGAATACATCTCAGATTTAAATTTAAATAAAGGCTGAATTATTTCCAAAGTTAAATATTGAGCTTTATTCAGAAGGCATTTGTTATCTTTTTGAATTTTCAATACTGAAATGTAATATTGGTGCTTACATAGTACTGAGCTGGTCCTAGTTAAAAAACAGGTTTAGTCATTTAAGGGGGTCTAAAGGTTAATGTGAACAACTAAACAGCAAATGTAAAATTGAATTGCTAACTTGTGCAATTAGATTAAGGAGCACTGTTTAGTTTCTTAATAATGCTGCTGCTTCAGGAAAAGCTAGAATAATTCAGAGTTTACAGTTCATCTTAGAATTGTCATGGAGACAAACAATCATAGAATATATATATATTACTACTTTGTGTTAAATATTTTTTTATTGTGAAAAGTTCTCCAGTTTCTCTCTCTATACACTGCATAGGTCACGATCAGCGTGGGATTTGTTAAAATGCAAAGGCGATGCAAACAGCATCCATGTGTGCACAAAGAGATGCTGTTTGCCTACTCTTGGCAGGAAAAGTAGAGAAACCTACTGGTTTGGGCTGGGGGGGAGTTGTTTGGTGGTTTTTTTGCACTCCATACCTGCTGTGTCTGTCAAGAAGTTACCCAGATAGGAACAAGACTGGCAGGGCTCTGCTGGGGCACTGAACTCAGCTCCCTGCCATCACAGGCAACCACATTTTACAATCTCTTGCATAAAATGAGTGACTCATTTGCTGGTTTTGGTGCTCTGGATTTGATTTGATTTCCCTGTTAGATGCCTTAGGTTTTAAGCAACTTTTCATTCTGCAATTAATAAAAATAATGCAAATAATAAAATAATGAGACAAAGATAGGTTTTGCCTTTACAAACCAACAAAACAGCAAATACCAAACCAACATTGCCTTACAGATTACTCAGCGTAGTATCTAAACATTTCTGGTTTTAACTAATTAAGTAAAGCAGAACAAACCACGGAGAAGAAAAGCTGTCACATAATTCTTTTTGTAATTGCATTTAGTGTATTCTTTTCTGGACTTGTCTTCAGAGGAGCCTTCTGCTAGTCTGTGTTGACCCTTGTCAGTCTGACCAGGGATTGCTGTGTTTCCAGTGCAGTGTATATTTGTAAGGGCAGTGAAGAGCAGTGTTAAGTTGCTTGCTGCTGTCAAGATTTACATGCACAAAATTGTAGATTTACAGAGAAGAGTTTAAAAACTCGCATGGGGAATATAAAAGAAAATACTTAAAATCTGGCTGCCTAGGGAATTATGGCGTTGCTCTCATTTTTCACTAGGTCAAAAATGAAAGGAGAAATATAATTTTAATTAAAGGAGGAGTTGATAAAGTAATTGACTACATTATACATACAGTGTAGGACAGGCTAACAGTTGTTCTGGTAAACTCTTCAACTAGAGATATGTTTTTGGAGAGTAACAATTGTTTATTATGTTCTTGTATATGTAACAGTTACTTCTAAATTGCTTTATTAATGTCCTCAGTCTTAAATTTGGAGTGTTTACTACTGGTCAGTTGTGATTAGCTGCCTGCAGATAACAGGATTATCATGGTTCCCTTGGTGGACCTAATGCAAATTCTAGGGATACATAAACCCATAGAATAAGTCTATTGTAATGATTACTAGACTTTCATTTAGGTGTTTATTTTTAGTTACAAAACCTCTAAACTGTTCTGGAAAATACTGCCAGTATTGTAAATATTTAGCTGTCATTCTATAAGACTTACTCAAAATGTGAGTTCTCTGTTGGTCAGGAATTTTATTTTTGCACTTCTTGAAAACCTTGAGCAAATTAGATTACCTCTGGTTTATGCAGTACTACAGTAAAATACTTCAAATCAGGACTGAAGAAAACTGCTTGCCAAATGGTAGTCTGTTAGAAAGGTCAAGCTGACCTTGTACAATAAAACATACTTAGTCTATATTCTTTTTGTCCAAAAGAAGAATTAATTTTATTTCCACAGTTCTCAAATCATTGACCAAAAGTGATGATACTGCTTTTATATCCTATAAGTGGTAGTAGCACAGCCTCACATACCACTTCTTTTTACTAAATCTGTAGTACTGAGAACTCAGGGATTCATTCTGCTCATTTGTGCTCCCTGTTTCTTTAACATTTGCTGCTATTTCATCCCCCAGGCTGAGGTGCTCTCTGAGGGGGAGGGATGGTGTTGCCTTGTGTGCCTTTAAATTCTGCCAAATGGTTTGGCAGCTGTAAAGGCTCTGCAGGGAATCCCATTTGCTCCTTGACCAGAGAAACGTGGCTTTTTGTGCTGGCCAGAGGTTCAGCCAGCAAAGCAGGGATCCATGGATGGGATAGTGAGAAACCCCATGGACTGTGCAGGAGGGTCATCCTGGAAAAGGGGGGCTTATCTAATCACATTCATGGAATTATTTATAGAAGTGCAGAGTGGTAGTGTTCTCATGAAGAGAAACAGCCTTTTCCAGGGAACACTAGGAGGGAGAAGGAGAAATGAGAGCTTGATGTTCCCCTAGAAATCAATCTAGTAAATAGCTGGCTCGTGTGTGGCATGTTGGCTGTGTAACATGTTGAGAGCCATGGTGTGCACACAAACCCCAGCGTTGCTCGGCTCTGATTTGTGTACAAGCCTGGCTTGATGAAAATACTCCTGTTTGCAAAATCATAAGCCATCCCTACGTAGAAACTGAAAAGGAAAAAGAACACCTCACTAATCTGAAACCCTCCTGACTATGGGGTGCCACAGACTGTGGTGCCATGGGCAATTTCAGTGCTAATTACCCAGCAGACCAGTCGTCTTGCTGCTGCTTTAAGTGAATTAGCAATGTCTGAGCCTTCTGCCAATGTAACCCATCTGCCCAGGCTTGGATTGGATGGCCTAAAACCCACATAGATTCCTTCCTCCCAAGAATTCATACTTGCTTCATTACATTCCTTAATCTTTCCCCAAGCATACGGGCTCCTGACAAACTTAATTCTGTTAGTCACTTCATTTTCTGTAATGCAAGAGACTGCAGAGCACACCAGTGAATATCCCAGCCCTTGGTTAGTGACTACAAGGTGCAGGGAGGTGGGAGAAATCAGTGATACCTCCTTTCTCAAGTAATAATATTAAAACTATTTCAAAACTAGAGGAGGAGAGCATGGATAATTGTCCCACTACTGATATGTAACATTGAGGAGAATTTTGCTCCTGGTAGGATATGAATGAAAGTTAATTGTGTTTTTGGAATGAAGGGTGTGACGCCCACTACAGTCTCACTTGTGCATAGTTTCTCCTCTTTTAGTTTTAGCATATTTCAATAAAGTTTTTTGCTAGATTTCTGTACTGCCTTTTCTAGACACCTTTAATTCATTCTACAGAACTCCCACTCTCCAGCAGACTTGCTGATATCTCCTTGGGATAGGAAAAAGCTGACAAAATGTGACACCCATAGCATATACGTGTGACAGAAGGTTTTAATCTTTTTTTCTCTAATTATTTCTGTTTGTCTCAATGACCTGGTATAATATATCTCTCTTGCATATGTCTGTACTCCGTCCTGCAGTCTTCCTTTGGCCTCAGTGGGATAGGAATGAGATTACAGTTTTCACATTCAGCAACTATAAGCAGAATAATTGACCTATATAATCTAGGGAATCAATATGTGATAGTTATTTCCTTAATATTTTTATACTGGCAAAGTAACATGACTGTCAGGATCTGTGCCTGTTTTCATGTTAATATAAAAAGTAATCAAATAAACAAGACTTGCCTGAGTTAGTCCCTTTGGAAGAGTAGCTTTCAGCAGAGACTCCTTGAAATGAGAAGGATCAAATC